AATGTCATTCCTTCTGAGAGACTTTGCTTGACCACCCATCGAAAGTAGCAAGCTCTCACTAGCCCTGCTCCTTGCATTCACTGCCTCCCTCCCTAATACGTAAGTGCCATCAAGGGCCAGGTGTCCCAGCACGCAGAGTAATGCCTGACAGGTAGTAGCGCTCAGGAACTACTGAGTGACGGGACGACCATATTTCAGGAACAAGATTCCACTTTGTCATTAAGAGGACACGCAGACATTGTCCTTATTTTGACCTTTGGACTTTAAAAATCATTGAATGTTCAAGAGAGACCAAGATGACCCCTTTTAGGATGGAAATGGCTGGTCTCCCTGAGCTTATCTCGTTCTCGCATTCTAGCTGATTCACGTAACTCTGATTGGGGAGTCAGGAGGAGTGTCACAGAGGAGGGGACAGGTGCCATCAGAAAGGTGTGAAAGTAAGGTCCTCCGGTGGGACAGGGCATCCGCTGGAGCACACCACATGATGAGGGGCGGCAGGAGCCGTGCAATAAACAAGAGCCTGTGTAACAAGCATGTCCCACTGTCTGCAGCACGTCTGAGTCATCAGTAAGTAGAGGGTCTTAATAGCTCTTTTGTTAACATGGGTCTCAGCAAGCATTTGTCGGCTGGCCCAGGCTCTGAACTTGAACTGTCTTAGTTCACACCCTGGAGTGGAGGAAGGTGACCTTCCTCTGTTAGTTTGTCTCTGCATGGAGCTGATAATGGTGCCTACTTCGTAAGGTTATTATGAAGATTAAATGAGAACAAGAAGCCATTCACAGACTATTTGGTACACAGCCACCGCTTAGTAAGTGTTCCCCTTTTATTATCTCATTGAACAATTCTGACTTATGATCGACTAACTTCTTATCATATGGCTTGTAAAGCAGAAAATTAGTTCTCTTCTCCTGGTCTCCAAGCCTCTAATCTATAGAGAGAGGAAATCACAGATGAAAGAAACAGGAAATTATGTTTTTGTTCACTTTGTTGTTTAGTCGCTAAGTCGTGTCCAGCTCTTTGATACCCTGTTTTGTTCAGTGACCCAGCCAATAATGCAGCGCCTGCTGTGTCTCAGGACCTGTGCATCTCTGTGTGTGTGCTAAGTCACTTAGTCGTGCCCAACTCCTTACGGCCACATGGACTGTAGCCCGCCAGACTCCTATGTCCATTCAATTTTCTCTCTATATAAAGATAAATATGAAGGACTCTTCCCTCCGAAAGTTTTCAGCCTGTGTTCTCTATCTCACAAATTTTAGATCTGTATGTGTTAGCTATCATCATTATTATTAATTATATAATGGAAATTTTCATTTTGAGCATGTGAGTAGCATCACTTTCTAGACATATCACTCACAAGTTGGAGGGTGAGGAGGCACATGGTCATTGCTATACATTGCATGAATGTATAATGTGTACTTATACATATGCAAGAAAGAACTTACACAACACACATATATATCTTTCTGGGCCTTCAAGGCCAATGTGCTCTCTGTCCTGATTATCTCTGATCTCATTGTCTTCTACACTTTCCCTCCATTTATTTCTCCATTTCTCACTATTCCTCGAACATGGAGATCCCCCTCCTCCTCTGAGTCTTTGTACTTGCTCTGCCCTTGCCCTGGATTGTATGTTTTATTCTAAGTGATGGGGCCACCTGGGACTTGGTCTAGCTTATGTATTGCTTTTTTAAATCTTTATTTATTTAGTTGTACTACATGGGATCTTTAGTTGTAGCACATGGGATCTAGTTCCCCAACCAGGGATCGAACCTGGGCACCCTGCATTGGGAGTGTGGAATCTTAGCCACTGGACCACCAGGGAAGCCCCCAGTTTATGTATTATCGAGGGAGGCAGGCTTTGATGCGCAGAACAGGAGGGTAGATTAGAATGGGAAAAGTTTTAGTTCAGGTCACCTCAGTTCAGTTGCTCAATTGTGTCTGACTCTTTGTGACCCTATGGACTGCAGTACACCAGGCCTCCCTGTCCATCACAAACTCCTGGAGTTTACTCAAGCTCATGTCCTTTGAGTCAGTGATGCCATCCAAGCATCTCATCCTTTGTCATCCCCTTCTCCTTCCACCTTCAATCTTTCCCAGCATGAGGGTCTTTTCCAATGAGTTTGGTTTTCACATCAGGTGGCCAAAGTATTGGAGTTTCAGCTTCAGCATCAGTCCTTCCAATGAATATTCAGGACTGATTTCCTTTAGGATGGACTGGTTGGATCTCCTTGCAGTCCGGAGGACTCTCAAGAGTCTTCAACACCACAGTTCAAAAGCATCAGTACTTTGGTGTTCAACTTTCTTTATAGTCCAACTGTAAAAACATGTAAGGCTACTGGAACAACCATAGCTTTGACTAGACGGACCTTTGTTGGCAAAGTAATGTCTCTGCTTTTTAATATGCTGTCTAGGTTGGTCATAACTTTTCTTCCATGGAGCAAGTGTCTTTTAATTTCATGGCTGCAGTCACCATCTGCAGTGATTTAGGAGCCCCCCAAAATATAAAGTCTGTCACTGTTTCCATTGCTTCCCCATCTATTTGCCATGAAGTGGTGGGACCAGATGCCATGATCTCAGTTTTCTGAACGTTGAGTTTTAAGCCAACTTTTTCACTTTCCTGTTTCACTTTCATTGAGAGGCTCTTTAGTTGTTCTTTGCTTTCTGCCATAAGGGTTGTGCCATCTGCATATCTGAAGTTATTGGTATTTCTCCTGGCAATCTTGATTCCAGCTTGTGCTTTATCCAGCCCAGCATTTCTTATGATGTACTCTGTATAGAAGTTAAATCAGCAGGGTGACAATATACAACCTTGACATACTCCTTTCCCGATTTGGAACCAGTCTGTTGTTCCATGTCCAGTTCTAACTGTTGCTTCCTGATCTGCATACACATTTCTCAGAAGGCAGGTCAGGTTGTCTGGTACTCTCATCTCTTTAAGAATTTTCCACAGTTTGTTGTGACCCACATAGTCAAAGTCTGTCATAGTCAATAAAACAGAAGTAGATGTTTTTCTGGAACTCTCTTGCTTTATCAATGATCTAACGTATGTTGGCAATTTGATCTCTGGTTCCTCTGCCTTTTCTAAATTCAGCTTGAACATCTGGAAGTTCATGGTACATGTACTGTTGAAGCCTGGCTTGGATAATTTTGAGCATTACTTTGCTAGCATGTGAGATGAGTACAATTGTGCGGTAGTTTGAACATTCTTTGGCACTGCCTTTCTTTGGAATTGGAATGAAAACTGACTTTTTCCAGTCCTGTGGCCACTGATGTGTTTTCCCAATTTGCTGGCATATTGAGTGCAGCACTTTCATAGCATCATCTTTTAGGATTTGAAATAGCTCAACTGGAGTTCCATCACCTCCACTAGCTTTGTTTGTAGTGATGCTTCCTAAGGCCCATTTGACTCTCATTCCATGATGTCTGGCTCTAGTGGAAAGGTTAGAGCCTGGAAAATCTGTGAGAAAGTTCTACTGCTCCAGGTGAGGCTGGCATATAGCATATGAACCAGGGCAGGATGCGAAGAGCTCTGAGAGAGAGTTTATGAAACCAAATCAGTGGTTTCCTAAATAGATGTGGGCAGCAAAGAAATAAAGATTCAAGACTGACTTTCTGCTTCTGGGCTGTTCCCCTGGATTAACACCGGTGTTATTCATCAAGATTGGAGTATACAGGATGGTGGGGGGTGGGGGGGGCAGTGTATTTCTTAGGGATATCTGGTTCTCAATTGAGTCTGGGAGCTTCCAAGGTGGTGCTAGTGGTAAAGAACCAGCCTGCAATGCAGGAGATGCAAGAGATGTGAGTTCAACCCCTGAGTCAGGAAGATCCGCTGGAGGAGGAAATGGCAACCCGCTACAGTACTATTGCCTGGAAAATTCCATGGACAGGGGAGCCTGGCAGATTAATCTGCACAGTCCATAGGACTGCAAAGAGTCAGACATGACTGAGCACAAATAAACAACTGAGTCTGGAGTCAAGAAGGTGGTTTTGGAGCCCTAAGCACGTGGTTCATAGTTGAAGGTCAGAGTGTGGATGGTATCCCTCAGCAGAAAAGAAGATAGAGGGAGAAAGAGGTCAAAGACTTACTCTAGAAAATGCATCATATGGTCAACTAGAAGAGGAGACAGTGATTAAAACAGGTGCAAAGGCCTGAGGACCACTTTCTTCTCCATCTCATGAATATAGGTGGTGGTGGTAGATTTTTATCATGTTCCCCTCAACGAAGAATGCATTTTGTCTGGTAACAGTGACTTGAAGAGAAAGTCAGGGGATTCCAGGGTCAGCCTAGTGGTTCTCCAGGAACAGGATACTGTTTTCTTTGCAGGTTTGTACATCTGACTGAAGTTTCCGGTCCACTGGGCCTCTATAGGTAGAATCATCCTACTTTTCAGCTGAGCGCATCCTGAGAACCTGAGAACCACAGAACTCTCTCTCTCTGCCCGCTCTTACCTGTCTTTGTCCTGGACAGGCTCACCTCAGCCCCCTGCTTACCTAACCGGGAGGCTACACAGACACCCACACAAACAGTTACACACACACATACACATTTACATATACTCACATACATCTTTAAAATCCAATAAAGAATACAAAATAATTACATGTAGAAAGTTTTGGGGATTTGTATAATAGCCGTCCCCAGCCGCCACCCAACATGGATCCTGGGAGGTTTCTTGGAAACACTTTGCATCTCCCTGTGAAATCTCATATTATTCCTGTTCCTTTAAGGACTTCATCAATTACTTGTAGCTTTTTAAGCTTTTACACAGAAATAACTCAGGATTTAGACCTGGAAGAAAGATCTGTAAATGGAAAGGATGGAGACGCAATTGTTCCCAATATATCCCTTTCCCCCAGAGTAGGGGTGGCACCTGAGCACTTCCTTCCGGGAACACGACTGATGTTTCGGAGGCTTCCGGAAGGATTGTGGATTCAGAGCAGGGAAGGCAAAGCTGAAAGAGCTCTTCCCTCCCCATCCTCCTCTCTCCCCTTGTGCCTCAGGTCCCCTGGAGCATGTACACCTGTCTCTTCCCTTTGTCACCACGAAGAACAAAGAGGTCAACGCAACCGCCGTGCTGTGGCCCAGCCAGGTGGGCACCCTGACCTACGTGTGGTGGTACGGAAACAACACCGAGGTGAGTCAGCCTTCCGTGCGGGGTCTGTGCGGCTCCTCTGTAGCATTAAAGGGAGAGAAGTGACTTATACAACTCAAGAGTACAGGAGTTGTGGCAACCTCTGGAATGGCAGGCTCTGAGTGCCTCAATCATCTCTTCAGCATGTCTCTGTCTCTCTCACGCCTGCACCCCTACCTCTTACCCCTGCCTTCCTGTGAGTCAGCGTTCTTCTCCACGTGGGCTTTACTCCGCAGTGACCCTCAGCAGAAGCCTGAGCTTTATGTTGTCACAGCTCAGCGGAGCAAATGAGCCATCTTTCCCAAACTTCTAGCAGAAGTCCCGGAACAGACTAATAATATTGGCCATGCCTTGATCATGGTGCTGGTGGCAGAAACAGAGCTGTTGAAGTCAACCTTCCTAGATCCGTCTAGACCAAGAGAAGAGAGAGAATGGCCCTCGAGAGGAAAAGAGACCAGTGGACACCAGACAGACAAGAGCCACAGATGTCTGTGCAGCCCGCCCCTCGCCCTTGTCCTCCATTCTGGATCAGACATGCCCCGCTGCCCTATGGCCCGTCCACCCCATGACCTGCCAGCCTGGATCAGAAATGGCCCCTTCTCTAGCTCAGCTTCCTGCTTTATGTTTCCTCCAAACACTCCCTGTGACCCAAAGTCAGCAGCAAGTATAAAACCAGTGGAGACCTTAGACCTCATGTACCCTGAGTCCTTCGTTTTACCGATGAGGAAAGTGAGGAAGACACAGATGGAGTGGCTTCCTCCAGGCTCATTCAGCTGCTTCATGCAGATACAAGGCCTTCTCATGCCTGCCTGGGTTTCTCTTCCCCGCACACCAGGCTGCATGCTCTGATTCAGTTTGGAGCACACTCCATCCTCAGAACTTAAAATTTGCTTGCAAATGTCAGTGAAGTCAGTAGAACTCAGGCCTGGCAACATCTTCCCCAGAGGACCCCGGACCAATGGCTCTGAATGGAGAGTTTCATCTTCTTCCAGCAGAGGTGCTGTCGCTTATAACTTTGCTCTTCAAACGCAAGGCATCTTGTGTGAATACAAATCTCTTTCTACCCCAGAGCTGAGTGTTGGCTTTAACTGGAGCCATAATTTCACACAAGCCCAGGGAGGAAACCTCTCCTGACACCAGACCTGCTGCGTGCCTGACAGTCAAAGGAATCTCTCACCTCTCCTGCTGACATAAATCAGCTGAAAAGAAGCCCTTTTTTTTATTTCTTCTGAAGCTGTACATGCAAATTGGGTCCAGATTGGGCCCACTATCCGCAAGAGAAGAGAAATGTGTGTTACTTGCTTGAATGCTAGTACTAGGAGGTGAAACTATTAAATAACTTACTTGCTGCTGCTGCTTCTTTTTTTAAGCTTTTAGCAGAAAACTAAATTCTCAACAGATTCTTTTAAGCAGACTTCTTATGCTGGGCTTTAGTCTACCTTCTGCTACACAGGGAGTTAAATGAATTTTGATTTTTAAGTTAATTAAAGAAAAGATAGGAATGAACTGTTTGTGGGGAGTGAGTGGAGGGAGGTCGGGAGGCTAATAATCCTTTTCCCCAGAACCCTGGTGTCCAGTTGCATTACAGGAGCTGATCCAAATCTTTTTTTTTTTGAGTCCTCAAACCACGATCCAATTAGTACTTGTTTCCATAGCAGCTCCTTCCAGGAAGTTGTTGATGGGGCTTCTCAGAGCAAACCAAGCCACACAAGGCCAACACCTGCCTAACTAATGTAGTTTTGGTGTCCACGGTCACTGTGTTCCATTGTAGTTTTATATAAGCAGTGTACCCTGGGGAGAAGTGCTGGCAGCTATACACTTTCAGTGACTATGGCTTAAATCTGGATTAATATGAGCCCCTTCTTTTGGCCTGATTTTAATGTTGCCTTGGGTTAAGGGATCTGTTTGATGAGTAGGTTATTGACAGAGAGACACCCTACCAGCAGGCAAGGCCTGTTGATCTCCCCAGTCCTGAATCAGGATGGTAGCAGAAAAGAGCTGTCAGATTCACAAGGAATGAGTAGAGTTTCTTGGGGCTCATGTCTGTGGTAATCCCTTTCTGGACTGGTCTCGAGGTGATAGGGAGGCATAGGTCGAGTCAGTCACACAGGGGGTGCCCCAGAGAGAGCCTCCGCTAATTTAAGGAGCTTGGTGGTGGTTCAGAGTTGGTGCCTATCTTGTGTGTAACTGAAAATCTCTCCCCTCATTCTGTGTCCTCATTTGCTTTAGCCCCTGATCACCTTAGAGGGAAGCATAGCATTCAAGTTTACTTCTGAAGGGATGAACACCATCACAGTGCAGGTCTCAGCTGGGAATGCCATCCTGCAAGACACAAAGACCATCGCAGTGTACGGTGAGTGGTCCATCTGCTGATCCATCACTGTCTGCATCCATCACTCAGAGGAGATGGTTTGGTACCTTGGCACCAGAGGCCATGCTGGCTTATGAATCTACCCAGAGAACAGAGGGTAGTGGTTGAGAAAGAGCTGAGTCAAGTCTCATCTCCTCTTTTGAGGAAGGTGTGGTTCACCAGCAAAGTAGGGATCACAAAACCTCAAGACAGTTTGTTGTCTTTTTTTTTTTTTGGAACTGGCTCTGGTGCCCATAGAGTAACTGTACACTCACTTACCTTAGGTAGAGAAGAGTGAATTTCATTATGTGGAAGGCTGATTCACTCCATTTGATATTTTTGTGATGTTTATAGATTTAAAACCCATTATAAAAGAAAATGGTTAATATTGAGCCTTTATTTTTTTAAGTTCAAACTCAGAGTCTTGATTATTAAGAAGAATCTGCCAATGTCTAAATGCTCTGAAAATCTCTTCCACAAATATGTATCATTTAAAAATCACTCTACTGGTTTAGAAGCAAGGGAGGAGTCATAACAAGCACATGTGGTGCATCTTCGTGGACAGAATATTTGTTTGAACAAACAGCTGTACAGAACACTCTTGTCATCAGTTGGGGAAACTGAATGTGGTCAGGGTATCACATGGAATGAAAATTTACTGAAATGGAAAGGTGGAATCCTTGATGGAAAATGAGATTTAAAAAAAAAAAACAGTTTATACAAATTGATTTCATTTCATTTTGGTGTCTTTTTTTTTTTTTTCCTGCAGAAAGATAGTCAGATGGATCTGCACTAAGTGCTTTAGTAGATGGTAAAAATATGAACTTTTATTGTTAATATGAAAATGGTACTAATGCACCCTGGAAAATCAAAATTTAAAGAGCAGGAATTTAAAAGGAAATAGATAGGGAAATAAATGCTGTGCAGAGAGAGCAAGAGGGAGGATCGAGCGAGGGAGGGGAAGTGAGATGAGAGGCTGAAAGAGGTAGAGAGACTGAGACAGAGACACATGAACTCATGGTCCAAGTAGTATCAATTGCCCCAGTTCTAGAATCAATTGATTCTGATGAAGGTTCTGTTTTTCGCTTCTCATTTTGCCAACTCGACCTTCAAATTCAGAAAGCAGTTTGTAAGCAACTTTGAACACGTGTGAGGACACTGTTCCTCCTCACGTGGCCGCCTGTTAGATTTCATAGTGTTTCCTCCCTCCCCCAGCCCCTAAAGAGGTTTGAGAAGCCCCGGTAGTAAGTGAAAGTCAACCAGAGCTGTGGTTTGCCTCCAAGGTCCCATCAGTGAGGAGACCTCTCAGCCGAGCAGCCCGAATGGAGGAGAGCTTTTGTTTCTCCTTCCTCTCCATCTCCTTTCTATGCTCTGGGAATGCACCTAGTTGTCATAACAATCCTAGTGTAGGGTAGCGATATGATTAATTTTTTTCAGAGAGGTAAATAACTTGTTCCAGCTAGTAAGTGGGGGAGCTGGGCTTCAAACCATCAAGACCCAGGGCCCATGCTCTGAAATTACCCTGCTGGCTGGCTCTCGTTCTTTTCTACCCAATGCTCTCTTTCTTTCCTCTCTCCCTACGGGATGTCACCAGTGTCACTAATGGGCACTGATCCATTAGTCCAACAACTACCTCCTCATTAGAACCACAGACAGAACTTGGGACTTATCTGGTCCAACCCATTAGTATAGCGTTAGGAAATTGTGGTCCCCAAATGGAAAGTTACTGTCTTAAAGTCATTCCCCTATTCAGTAACAGGTTGAATAATAATGATGATGGTTGATAGTGATAGAAATTAACATTGATGCATCTTTTACTGGTGTTTATTCTAAGCATTGGATATATATGATCTGTTTTATTGAATCCTATGAACAGGCTATCAGAAGTATGCTATGATTATCCCTCTTTTACAAGTGAAAAAAATGTAAGTATAATAGCCAGAGCATAAGAATTCTGAATCTAGAGGGAGTATTTCTCTTGATGACTACCTTCTATGCCTTACTATACTTAGTTCTTCCTCTTGCTAAAAATCCCTTGAAGAGCATCTTTCCAGAGGGATCATTCGCCATCAAATGGGTTCTCTTCATTAGAAGGTATCTCCTGACTAAAAGTTTGAACAGGGAAAGTGCTCCCCACTTCCTGTAGCCAAATTCCTGAGTGTTTCGGCATCCTTAATCATCTTTGGTCAGATGGGTTGTCCAGGGTTTCACATGTATAACTAGAAAATTCTAATGACATGTGTGATCTAGTAAAAGGAAATTGCATCACAGGAAATTAAATAGGCAAGACTGAACTCAACAGAAACAAAAAGCAGGGAGAGTTTTAAACTCTGGGATAAGCTAGCAAAAGTGCTGGAGGACTCGGGGATTAGATTATCTCTGTGATTAGAACACAAAGGTTTACTTAGGAAACTTGGTTCCTACCCTCCCAGAGGTGGGGCACTGTCTTTCTTGATGATACCATTTCAAAGATGGTTCCTAGGTCCTTGAGCAAGGCATTCCTGGTTGCAAAAGATTTACATCTCAAAAGTTCAGAGAAAGAATTAATAATAGCAAGTTTCTAAAAGTGATGCTCCAAGAAAGGGGAGGTCAGAGTCTGAAGTCTGGAAGAAACCTGCTCAAGTTTAATTAAGCTTTGGGGAAATGTAAGATCATTATGGTCAGACTGAAGGAGGTATCATATTTGGGAAGCTGGCAGAGGAAAGACTGCCTACCCAAAGACCTACAGCAGACTGTAGGAAAGAAAATTTAGTTTGCATGCTTTCCCTTCCTTTGCTTCAGGGCTCAAGTTTGCCCTTAAATACAACAAAGAAAATGTAAATGTGTAGAATTCATCTCTCTCAGCAGCTGCAAAAAATACATATATTATTGACGTTTACCCTTTCCGGTTCTCCCACATGCATCCCCTATTTGTTGAATAAACTTAAAGATAACATGTCTTGGCCCTGCTGTTTAGCATGTTAAGTAATTATAGAGGGAGCTGTGCCATTTTTCTCATCTGTGTCTCTTTATTAAGATAAATATCTTCTTTTGAGATGAAGTCTCCACAGTTTGGTTAAGAGGTTCGAGGAAAGTGAAATTGACAAACACATCTTCAAAGGGAAAAGTTAGGACCCAGCGGGGCCTTCCTTGGCACTGCCATTTCCCATGCTGCTAATTAACATGCATTTCCTTCTTCTCCATCAGAACTGAAGTGGGGATGTTCACCTGGGTGACCAGTGACTCATAAAAGAGTCCAACTTTGAAAAATACATCTTTGGAATAAGCTGACTGCCTTAAATGCAGTCCTGATCATGTGCAAGTCTTCAGTGCCTGCTCCTGAGAAGTCGTTAGCAGTGTTAGGAAATGCACACGTGGGTTTTTGAGTTTCCTGGACATGTCATTGGTGTTGCCAGTGTTGCTGAGCCCTTCCTGAAATATAAGAACATGCTTACAATGAGAAAGAAATGATTGTTGAATAATAAAGGCATAAACTACAGAGAGCTGCCACTGATGCTCATGCCTTCATTTATGCAATAAAAATGTATTAATTAAGTGACTCCTGGCCACTGAACTGGGTGGGCAGTGTCCCAGAGGGCCAGGAACAACTGTGCCCCCATCCTCACTGAGCTAATATTCCTGTGTGGGAGACAGACAACAAAAGCATTTCTTTATTTAAAGCTTTTTTTGGAGTATAGTTGATTTACAGGATTGTGTTAGTTTCAGCTATACAGCAAAGTAAATCAATTATACATATGCATACATCCACTCTTTTTTCGGTTCTTTCCCCATATAGGCCATTACAGAGTACTGAGTAAAGTTCCCTGTGCTGTATAGTAGGTCCCTTATTAATTCTCTATTTTATATACAGTAGTGTGTATACGTCAGTCCCCATCTCCCATTTTGTTCCCTCCCCCCTGATCCCCCCAAACAAAATAATGTAAATAGTAAGAAGTTTGACGAAGACAAATAGGGTCACATGATGAAAGGTATTAGCGTTGGTGAAAGGGAGGATACCTGAGGTTGCTGGAAGGAAGGGCTCCTCCCAGGAGAGGTTGAAGGCTGAAAAGGAGCTGAGCAGACCATCGTCTGGGGAAGTAGAGGCACGGTAAAGTGGGAAGAAACTTAGCAGACTGAGGAAGGTGGGGAAGGGTGGCGTCATGAGTGCAGGGCACCCCTCGGGACGTGTGGCCGGAGACAGAGTCCTTGCTGGTTTGTGTGGCACCATGAAGGCTGCGACATGAATCTGAATTTATTCTAAGTGCAGTGTGGGGCCTCCCACGGATTTCAGGGGAGCAGTGTGGTCTGAGTATATTGTGTGGTAAGACCCCCTCAGGGCTGTGCTCTGAAACCCGTCACCGTGTTCAGACCAAGGCTGTAGCATCCAGCCAGTGATCGGATGCAGCAGGAAGGCTAAGGTGAACCCATTCTTGGGACACAGGGCTGCTCTAGCTGACTTCAGCTCATGGATCTCCCATCAGTCTCGCTGAACCTTCCTCCCTCTCTTGCACTGTGTCATGTATGTAGCAGGGTCTGACGGTGCTCCAAGATTCTCTGGTCTCCTCCCCATATTCTGTTATAGACAATTCTCCTCACAAAATCATAGCCTTTATCATTTCACCGACTTCCTGGAGGACCAAGATTAACTCAGAGGCTACTGTGTCAACTAGCAAAATCCTTGAAATAAAGAGCTGAAAATTCCTTTCAACGAAATTCCCATGCAAACCAAATTTAGCAAGAATGACTATGATGAGTTTTATAATTATATAATCATATAATATGATTATTATATAATGATAATGAAAGTATGTGCAGAGCACAGCTGTACCATAAAAAAGTAAAGTAAAACATGGTGGGCAGAGTATTAAGTCAGTGAGGACTCAGACTAGAGCTTGAGTGCTGCATGCATGGAAGGTGGGAAGAGGGGACCATTCTGGGGAAGGGGCTGTGTGTTCAAAAGTCCAGGGGCAGAAACCTGTGATGCAGTCAGAGTGCTCCAGGTGTGTGCATTTAGTGTCCAGGAGCCCAAGGGCTAGAACTGGGGACAATGCACAAAGCTGTGGAGTGAAGCATGGGTCGCAGACTAAAGCTTTGGCCTGGAAAAGGAGCTCGGAGGTAAGAGGGATGCGATGTTGACTTTGCCTTCTAGTAAGGTCTCTCCGGTGAGTGTGGAGGACAAGGACCCTGCATTAGGGCTTTGCATGAAATAGAAAGTGTAACAGACTTCCTGAGAGGCCGATCTGACTTATAGTAACCCCTCTACTCTGGGGTCCACAGAGGAATTCCGATCTCTTCGCCTGTCCTTTTCTCCAAACCTGGACGATTACAACCCAGACATCCCTGAGTGGAGGAGAGACGTCAGCCGAGTCATCAAAAAGGCCTTGGTGGAGGTGAGTGTAGCCAGCTCCTTCTGGCCCAGGCCCTTCCCCTATCTGCTCTTGTCCTTCACGGAGAGGGGACCCTTGCATTAAGAAATGGCAGGAAAGAGCCAGAGGCCAGGGGAGGTGGGTGTCATCATCCTGATACCTGCAAAGCTGAGCCCCGCCATGTGCAGATATGTCACGGGTGCCATGGGGGACAGGAAATTGAATAATCACAGGGTCCTTACCCTTTATGTTCTGCTTAGAGGAGACCATGGAAATATGTGACAGTCACATGGCAGAATTCACAGTTAGCTGTCAGTACGTGTAAAATAGCTACTGGGCATAATACTGAAAGGCAAGGAGTGAATACCGTTAGTAAGAGCAGGCTGGGTTCCAGCCCCATGAATGGCCAGCACAACAGCACAGTGAGTGCCCAGCACAGGAAGGTAGTCATCTTACTGTGTCCCAGTTCTTTTTAACAGCATTCCTTTCCCACAACAGCCTCCAGAGCAAAATATTATTGTCTTTATTTGTTGATTAAGCAATTGAGGTTCAGAGAAGTTAAATAACTTGTCTAAAGCCTCACAGCTAATAAGTGACAAAGCTACAAAATTAAAGTGAAGGATCTGAATCCAGTGTCTGGGTTTTTTTCATGTGAATCACAGCCCCTTCTGGTTCCTGGGAGGGTAACAAGGTGGTGTGGTTCATCCCCTTCTGAACAAATGTCACCCACAATTTGACAAGACATCTTCTTCTAGGCACATTCTGCCTGCATACTCCACTTCCATAAACAATCAGAGAAATGGAATATCTACTCATATAGCTGCTTGGGTTTATTGCACAAACCCAGAAAATCAGAAATGACTTTTCCCTAAGATCTACTCTTTGTTGTTATTCTTCAGTCGCTCAGTCGTGTCTGACTCTCTGTGACCCCATGGACTGCAGCATGCCAGGCTTCCCTGTGCTTGACGATCTCCTGGAGTTTGCTCAAACTTGTGTCCATTGAGTTAATGATACCATCCAACAATCTCATCCTCTATTGCTCTGTTCTCCTCCTGCCCTCAATCTTGCCTAGCATCAGGGTCTTTTCTTCAGTTGACTCTTTTCGTCAGGTCAACACTTCGCATCAGGTGGCCAAAGTATTAGAGCTTCAGCTGCAGCATCAGTCCTTCCAATGAATAATCAGGACTGATTTCCTTTAGAATTGACTGATTTGACCTCCTTAGTGTCCAAGGGACTCTCAGGAGTCTTCTTCAGCACCACAGGTTGAAAGCATTAATTGAAATCATCAATTCTTTGGTGCTCAGCCTTCTTTATGGTCCAGCTCTCACATCCATACTTGACTTCTGGAAAAACCATAGCTTTGACTAGCTGGACCTTTGTCAGCAAAGTGATGTCTCTATTTTCTAATATGCTGTCTAGGTTTGTCATAGCTTTTCTTCCAAGGAGCAAGCGTCTTTTAGCATCTTGGTGACGCTTTAGCAAGCGTCTTGGTGATAGCAAGCTGCTATCACCATCTGCAGTGATTTTGGCGCCCAAGAAAATAAGGTCTACTCTTTGCCTAAAAGAAAAGTCAAGTTAGGATTAGTTATACATTCTCTCCTGTGCCTGACACATGGTGCCTCATGACACAAAGGGATGAGGAGAGTTAAAGACATTCAGATAATCCCAGCTCAGAAAACTGATCTCACATTCAGCCTTTTGGCAAAGAGCTGATGTTCCCCTTAATCATACCATTGTATTTGTGGATATTCATTTAGCACTTTACAAATTCCAGAAACTCTTCTCAGTGTTTTGCATTTTTAGACACATATAACCACCAAAAAAACCCTATCTTATGATGTAGAAATGGATAGTATGATGATCCCCATTTTACAGGTGAATAGAGGCAAGTAACTTGCACAAGGTTGTACTGTTTAAAATCAGGCTCTGGAGTTAGACCTCAAGGTTTAAATCTTGATCCAGTAGTTTTCTACCCACTCCACTCTGCTGCTGTCCTTTGCTTTGTTAGATGGAGAGGCAAGAGTGATTGGAATAGTGGGATGGAGAAGGGTTATTTTCTGCACCTCTGGGTAAATGCCATCCCACTTTTGTCTTTCTTAACGACTCTTGAGCGGCTATGACATTGTCGGTGGCTAAACATTATGGCCACCAGGGGGCGAAGCTACCAAACCACAGGCTCCTTTATCCTTGGAGCTACTGGTTTCTCTTCTCTGTTGTCCTGGAGAGATGACTTACAGCCCTCAGTGAACCCACAGCCCACCTCCTTCAGAGATCTGTGTCCCTGTAGATCTCCTAGGCAGCTGTCCAACACCCCCAGGTGACTTATCAACCAAGCATTAGTTCAGCAGTGATGTTTTCCAGGCTGGCTCCTCTTCATATTAATTGTAAGGGGATGGGATGCTCTGGGCTGCCACCCTCCCATCAGCTGTACACTAGGTTAGATATGACTGCTCATTAATATTTCTAGGGCACTGCAGAGCATAATCAGCTAAATGCAGAACAAACAGATTAGCTCCACATCCCTCAGGATAAGAGGTGATGGGGTGGAGGGAGTTTTGAAGACTCCTTGGTTACCCAATCCTAAGAGGCAGCTGAACCAGCCCTGGTTCCTAGCTCCCCACCTTGGCTTTGAGATGAGTAAATATTCTCAGCCACTTCCTTAAGTCCCAAAGAACACACCCTATTGCCAGGTGTCCCCTAATAAGCTCTATAAGAAGCTTGACTGGATGTCAACTTAATTGTAGTTTTCTTCCTATTCATTCTCTAATGAAATTCAATATGTAAATCAATTGCCTTTTTCCTCATCAACTGGGGTTTTTCTATTGATATTTTGCAATGGGATCTTTAATTGAAAATCCTTCAGTAAATATTGCCGATGATAAGAATGAGTTTAGAAATAATATTTGAGTTGAGCATCCTGGAGGGCTATAAAACAGTGTGTTACCAGCTGGGACAGGAGCTGCTTTGTGTGTTAGGAGGAAGAAGACAGGAGAGCCCTGGTTAAGGACAGAGGCATCATGGTCAGACCAAGGTTCCAAACTGAGTGTCACCACTTGTTACTTAGATGGCATTGAGCCACTGCTGAGCTTTCCTCCATCTACTGTCTGTCCTGTAGCAGAAATAGGGATGTGCCATCCAGATTCCCCTTACGGGAGATACAGTTGTCTTAGCTGCTGGGAGAGCTGTGGGCAGAGGTTTCAGCTGCCTTTCCCCCCACACTGTGTTCCTTTCTGAGTGGCTCAAGTCCAGTGATGCTCTCAGCTCAACCTCAGGCAAATCTGAAGGGCTATTCTCTTTCTCTTCAAGGTCATCTGAGGCCAATGATGACCTTTATCATAGTTCAGCTTCTCCCTCTGCCCATTCTCGATTCCTTGCCTTCAGTCCTATAGCTGTTGATTCTAAGAATGTCCCCTAGTAAACACCCTACAGGCTAAGCTCAGAGCCAGCTTCCTGGGGACTCGCAACCTGTGTCTTCACCTGCACAGAGAAGTATAGTAATACTTGCTTCAAAGAGTACTTGTGGGAGATTGCATTACATTATATTAAGAAGTTCTTAGGGCAGTGCCAGACACATGATAAAGATCCAGTAAATGGAATTTCTTACGACTTCAAGAGAGATATAAAGGTATGTTTCAGAACCCAACGGTCACCTAACTGGAAATCATGACCAATATACTGAAATGAATGGATTTTATGTTGTCGTAGAACTTCATGATGTTCCAGCAGCAAATGTATAGGAAAGATATTCAGGGGAGATACACAGAAACATTTCGAGAAAAGGCTGGAAATGTTGAGAAATTGTAGATGAGTCTATTCAGTTAAGCATAAGATGTCTGTGTGAGCTGTGGATAATTAGTGTAGGAAGGAAAGGTGGGACCATGTTGCTGAAGGATTTGAATGTAAATCTAATCCAGTTGGCAGTGGTAATTTGTGCATGAATTTATATGGGGACACATAATCTGAGTTAGACAGTGGGATGAATCTTGAAGTGTTGGTAGTAGTCTGTTTCCTGGAGATGGGGAGGCTGTTATAAAGCTTGAGGGGAGAGAACACAGAGGCTGAATTGAGATATTAACAAGGCAGGGGGTGGGGGAGGGATTTAAATAGGAAGGAACCAATAGGGTCATTTGTCAAGATCTCATAGGCTGGTTAGATAGGATGTGGAAAGGAGAGTGTGGTATCATAGGTGAGATAAGGCTTCCTGCTGGGGTATTTGGGAAAAGAGTGCTTCCATTCATCCACATGCAGAATGAAGATTTTGGGGTAAATGTGAGGAGTTCTTGTATAACAACCAAATGATTGGATGCTGACTGGATGTTCTGACTGAATGCTGCAGAGAAAAGCTGAAATTGTAGCCAACTGAATTCTAGAACCATCTAGAAAGTAGGCTCAGTAAAGAGGAAGTTTTTGAGTGATGTGCATGATTTTAATAGAAGATTGTTTTTGTTTTAATTAGTTGGAGGCTAATTACTTTACAATATTGTAGTGGTTTTTGTCATACATTGACATGAATCAGCCATGGATATACATGTATTCCCCATCCCGATCCCCCCTCCCACCTCCCTCTCCACCCGATCCCTCTGGGTCTTCCCAGTGCACCAGGTCCGAGCACTTGTCTCATGCATCCAACCTGGGCTGGTGATCTGTTTCACCCTAGATAATATACATGTTTCGATGCTGTTCTCTTGAAACATCCCACCCTTGCCTTCTCCCACAGAGTCCAAAAGTCTGTTCTATACATCTGGGTCTCTTTTTCTGTTTTGCATATAGGGTTATCGTTACCATCTTTCTAAATTCCATATATATGTGTTAGTATACTGTAATGGTCTTTATCTTTTTTGAAGGGCAGCAGGGGGAAGGGCTAAGAGAACTTTCTTAACTGATCATTAGAGTCGGATGCTGTGAAGAACTCAACAAATACCTGGAGGCTGTGGTCTGGGGCTTGCTGTTAGGTTAGGTGATAGAGGTATGCCTGGTGGATTTGGAAGGAACTCTAGTAGTTCGAGGAAGGAGGAAGCTAAGTTAGAAAGTGTTGCAGCTCGAGGGGCAGAAGATAAGGCTCAGTGATGGCCTTCTCACTGACAGGGTTTACTTACTTTTACAAGGCAGGTACTACCATTATGCCACTTTTAAATTTGAGGGGATGCAAAGTGTTTAAGGTCTCATGGGGATAGAGCGGGGGCCAGACCTCAGAGTCTGGCTTGAACTCAGTTCTGGCCCTTGCATCCCTCCCCCACAAGTGCAGCAGGACCCTGCTTTCACACCCTATCTCCATACCCATGTGCCCTCTTACTGCACCACCCCCCAGCTCCCCCACTGAACACGTGGATCCTTCTCATAAGCTCTCCCCCAGGACTCAAATGTGCCTATGTCTCTTCCTCAGGCCACCGGGGTTCCGGGCCAGCACATCTTGGTGGCAGTGCTGCCTGGCCTGCCCACCGCTGCCGAGCTCTTTGTCTTACCCCATCAGGATCCCACAGGAGAAAACAAAAGGTCAGCCGAGGACCTGGAGCAGGTGAGTCCCCAGGTGACATGTCAGCTTCTCCCTCTCTGAGCCACGACCCTGCTAGTGCCTGACCAGGACAGCAGCTCTGGGGGTCCCCACTTGGGAGTGAGGGCTCCCGCTGCCTGTGGACCCTTCCACTTTCCCATCCTCCCTGAAGAAATGTAATCTGGAGATGTAGCTACAGCATCACCAGGAAACACATGCAAGAGTATGTATTGTCAGCAGTGGCTAAACCATCCAGGGTATATCCATCTACAGTGTTTACAGTAGACAAGATAAATCTGTGTGCTGACATGGCAAACTGTCCAAGGTATTAGGTGGCAGGAAAAACACAAGAGGCTGAACAATGTGTAGAAGTGGAATCGATTTACATTGCTTCACATACTTGCATCATGAGAATCAAAGTGAAAGTCAAGTCACTCAGTCGTGTCTGGCTCTTTGTGATCCTATGGACTGTAGCCCGCCAGACTCCTCCATCCATGGGATTTTCCATGCAAAAATACTGGAATGGGTTGCCACTTTCTTCTCCAGGGGATCTTCCTGACTCAGGGATCAAACTCAGGTCTCCTGCATTGCCGGCAGACTCTTTACTCTCTGAGCCACCACAGAATCCTTGAGAATCAAATGGCATATCTTTTTAAAAAGGCACAACTTTTATACAAATCATGAGTCCTGTTTATCACCACCAGTCTACGATGATTTGAGTTTATAATGAATGAGTAATTGATAATGAGTTGAATGTTTATAATGAATGAATGAGTTGACTCCAAGTACCTCCCCTGGCTATATGGGATTCACTTTCCTCATCTCCAGCACCTCTGGAGTATGAGTGTCTGTGTGTTTGTGTGTGTGTGTGTGTGTGTGTGTGAGAGAGAGAGAGGGGTTCTCTCTCTTCTGCTACCTTAGAACTTTTTTCTCCCATTCTTCCTTCTAACTTCAGATTATCCATCTCTGTAGTGAGGATTGGGCTTTCCAGGTGGTGCTAGTGGTAACGAACCTGCCTGCCAATGCAAGTAGATGTAAGAGACACGGATTCAATCCCTGGGTTGGGAAGATCCCCCAGAGGAGGCAGCCCACTCCAGTATTCTTGGCTAGAGAATCCCACGGACAGAGGAGCTTTGGTGGGCTGTGGTCCATATGGTCACCGAGAGTCAGACACGACTGAATCAACTTAACACGCACACACAGTGAGGATTATTACTATGATGATGTTATTATTGCTGTTCTTATTCTTTACCCGGTCAGTTAAAATGACCAGTCTTGGTCTGGTCACCCTGTTGGAAACTATATGACTTTGGTTTCTCAATGCTCTCTGACAGATATATTAAAAACAGGATTCCTCTCAGGCACTAAGTAAATATTAACTTTTTCTCCTTTTAGTACTTGGAGCTTTTCAGTTTACTTAGAATTAACCCATAATCTAGTCCCTTGATCTCTAGTCTCCAAGATGACTTGAGAAACCTCCATCACAGCCTTGTTAACAACAATCCCAAATTACAACCTGGCCCACCTCCTAGTACACACCCACCTTTCAACAGTCGCTTTCTCAGTTGGCAGAAGACTCACGTCTATATTTTTTTTCATGTGCAAATAACAAATAACAGAGCTGTCAAGGAAAGCCCCAGTGAACCCCATCTCCTCATGAACTGCACTTGAACATCAGACAGCAGGGAACCCATCAACTTTGCATCTGACTTTCCTCAGCCCTCGCTTTCGGCTTCCTGTTATAGTCTACAAATTATTCTCTGCACCTACAGTTCAGTGGGAGAAAGAATGGAGTATTTGTCACCACACTGCTGATGAGACCGAGAGGGGTGTAGATCCCTATCCTGGGCGTTTAGGTTGAAACTTGTATATTTATGCCTTCTCTGGAAATATTATGGCTTGCCCATGAAATCCAGAATATCATCTTCTCAATCCGGAAGAGTCCAGGTTCAGAGCCAGCTAAGTTCCCAGGTACCACATCATCTGCACATCTCAATTCCCAATACTTTTCATTCTCTCTCTAAAATACAGTTTCTAGACGTTTATTTGGGAGAAAATGTAGAAAGAAGAGGCATGTGTTCTCTGAAACTTGGTTTACTCGTGTGAGGGTCTGTCTTGCGTTAACTGTCTGTTTTCCACAGAGTTCTTCTTTCTCTTTATCTTGTCTGAGTGTCTTCTCCAGAGACATTCTCAGAGACCCGAGTGAGTGTTCCTGAGGCAGCCAAGTATCATGTACTGATGAGCCATTAATCAGAGACCCAAAGGCAGCTGGCTTGGCTTGCTTGAAAGCTGTGGAACTTAACATTTTGTTCACATGCAGGGAGTTCAGATATGTTTTAGAAAGGCTACAGGTTTGGAGAAATATAGACCAGGTTTCTAGTTTCAGCTCTTATATCCATTGCTTATATCTTATAGATGAGGAAAATTCAGAAAAGATCAATAATCCAGCCAAAATCCCGTAATCAATAATACCTGTCTCATGGGGTGTTTGAGAGATCATTAAAGAAATTATACAGCAAAGCCCTTGACCTATAGAGGTTACTCAATAAATGGTAAGTAGATAATGGTTACCTTTATGGACGTTTTGTGATAGGAGAATATATGAGAAATACAAAAAATATATAGAGGCGTATTAAAGACTAGTATAGTCCAGGGCATGCATTGGCAGAAAGAAGATGGTGACAATAAGGAGAAAAAGATTAATGCATGAAATTACAGGAAAGAACAAAGATAGCAGGAAACAGAAAGGACACACATGCATGAGTAAACTAGAGGGAAGATGACTCATCTAAGTTATCATGCAGATGGATGGCATTAAGGAAAAGTAGCAGAGTACCAAGGGAGATTGTGACTTTGGTTAAGGTAATTGCCAGTGTAGCAGCCTTATCCAGGAATGAAACTAATTTCAGTGACCAAACCCAGCATATGAGAAATCAGTGTCTTATGGAAACTGTTATTACCCAATTAATAAGTACAGTAATGAAATCAATATGTAAACTAAGCCTGTGTCAAGAACCAGCAATACAAGTGCTGCCCACAGGAATCCTATAGTTATGATCCTAAGAGAGGTCTTTTAGTTCTTCCCTCGACTCAGTCACTTTGAAATTAATGAGTTCAGACCCCAACAGGGAGCTGTGAATTGCCTGAGGAGACACAACTCTTTAAGGGGAAGGGGATTCTAGTTCTGTTTCTGCAACTAAATCTCAAGTCTACTGGTCCCCTTGTTGCGTCATGCTGCCCATGTGGATTTGGGTACCACTTGACTTCTGCAAAGCCCCCAGATATCAAGGCTGCTGCCCCAGGAGATGAGCAACAGATGCTTTGCTTTGAGTTTTGTAGGGTTTTGGGGTTTTTTTTCCCCTGATGAAATGAACATATATTCTGATCAAACAAATTTCACTGGAAATTTGCAATTACAAGCTTATTTAGTTGGGAAGTCCAGCTCAGGCATGGATAACTCAGAGAGAAAGTATCATCAACTTACTCCCCACCTTTGTCTCTCCCTCTTTCTCGATGTCTTGCTGTTGTGACCACATGAGAAGTCTGTCTGAGAATGAAGCCAGCACACAGGAAGACGAGAATGGCCCCAGGAGGCCCCAGTCTTTTATTTAGTCATCTTATAATTCCATTCAAAAGATAGTGCCTCTCCCCTGAGCACACCCCAAAAGCCTAGGGTGATAATTCTCATAGGTTCGACTTCAGTAAAGTAGAGATGTCTCAACTAGTCTGGTAGTCACAAGGCTAGGGCTCTGTCAGTGATAACTCAATGTGTCATACCCTCCCCAGGATTAGGAGTTAAGGGAGCCCCTCCTAAGTCAAATGGGCTGGTAATGAAGAAGGACATGGGTCCTTAAAGAAAAATATGGAGGAGAGAGAAGGAACCAGAGGCAGGCAAAAGCAACTGACTTCCTTTGTCATAAATTACATAGAAATTGCAACTGAGGGCAAAGTAAAAACAACAACCAGGACCCCACTCCTTTAAAGGCTGCACTCCAAATTAGATGAAACTTGGGAAGAGCTGGCTTTATTCTCTCTCTCAATACTCTGGCCCCTTTCTTGTAAAGTTACTGCACAGAATTCCCAGCAGGGGAAAAAGTGGGACCTGGCCAGGTGGATCCTGATGACTGGGAGGGCAGGGCCCCAGCAAAGGGCTCTTGGCTCTCCTCCTTTACTTCCTCTAACAGCATTCCCCAGGGAGGACAGATGCTAGCTTAGATTGAGTTATCTTGTCTGTGAAATAAATTGAAAATTCCTCACAGTGAGAAGCCCTTGACCTTATTATCTGGATAACGTTGCGCTGGGTTAATCAAGTGACCTCTGTCTGGGAGGGTTCCACCACTCTTGACTTCACATCTCCAGAGAGTGAGAAAAGGCTCACTTGCCCTTAGCTGGCCTCATCAGGGATAGACTCTTGCTACCTGAGGCCAGATGCTCAGGTGTGGAGCATACCCCACCCTGCACCACTGTACTTGCTTCTCTCTGAGTCCTCAGAGGTGAGCAGATTTGTATCTGGCTTTCCTGGAAGGAGGAAGGACCATCATGCTGCGTCTGTGATGCTGTGCTGGGGAGATAGGGAGCCTGCATGTTGTCTTGTTGAATCCTTAAAGGGCACGGACACATTTAAAAGGAACAGACGACTATGGACAAAATGTCAACCACCAACAATGAATTTCCTCTTTAGTTGTTTGTGTTGTCATATACATTTGACAGGTGCAGAAACCAAAATCCAGGGAAAGGAAAAGTACCTCTGAAAGTGGAACAGGTTGTTGGCAATATTTTTAGAAGTGAAAGATTCATTGTGAAATGTAATAAATAATCTTAGGCTATTTTTGATATATTCAGTCTGCCCTCTCCAGATTTTTCAAAGAGAGGAACTGTAGAAACATTTTGAAGTTCACATGGAAGGTCACTAAAACAGGAAGTTATAATCGAAAGAATAGGTAAGAGTTGTGCTGAAAGAATACAGCAAAAGGAGAAGGACGTTTGGAGCTGGTGATGGTGAATTTAGGGAAAGGAAGTGAACTGGGACACATTTCTTCATTATGTCATCCAGGAAGAACTTCTTAGACACTGTAGTCAAGCTGATTCTCTGGTGCTAACAAAGAATGGAATTGATAAGCAGAAGTCCTGTTTGGCTCCATTGCTTCTTCCATGTATTAACCCAGAAATCATGTTAATTGGGAAAGATCTTTCTCTGTTAATTCCAAAAGTAATGTCATTCAATTACTCTTTGAAGAGGCCTTAACCTAACAGGATCAGGCTTGACTATGTCCATTCCAAGGTAATCCCAGGCAAGTCTCCTTCTAAACCTGGCACCAAAATGTTCCTTATGTTCAATAGGGTTTCCATCCCTCCTCACAACTTCAGATAAGCATTAGTTGTGTGGCCCAATATAGCTTTGCCGTTGATAAATCTGCTAAAGCACATTTTGAAAAGAAAGAAAGTGAAGTCGCTCAGTTGTGTCTGACTCTTGGCGACCCCATGGACTGTAGCCTGCCAGGCTCCTCCGTCCATGGGATTCTCCAGGCAAGAGGACTGGAGTGGGGTGCCATTGCCTTCTCCGGGGGATCTTCCTGACCCAGGGATCAAACCCAGGTCTCCTACACTGCAGGCAGACTCTACCATCTGAGCCACCAAGGAAGCCCAAGCCCATTTTGAGTGTGTATTAATAGTTTCACTTTGTACCATTTCTTTGGGTGCCATGCTTCATAAATTACCACTGCTCCGTTGTTCTTAAGCTTCTCTTTCTTCATGTTTCAGCATTTGACACTTCCATTCTCATGATCTGAGAGTCGATTTTCCTCTGTTGGTTTCATTAAGCATTGTCTGGATGTTGAATGTGTTCTTTATGTGGTAGTGATCTATTCTGTTGACCACACGTCTCCAGCTCACCATTTCTGGGTACCGGTAGATTATACCCATGGGTCTCTTCTGTAAGCAGAGCCATGTGACTAATTCTGGCCAATGAAGTGGGAGCAGAAGTGATGAGTCACTTCCAAGCTGAAGTATTCAAATTTTGTCTCTAGAACCCAGAGAACTCTTTTTTCCCTTCCTCTGGTGGTGTGTGCATCTGAGGGGGCTGATCTACCAGCCGATGTCCCTGTGTGACTAGAATGAGCTCAGCATCACATCTTCCTGCAATGGATATGGAGCGTTAAGAGAAAGCACACTTCCTTTGTTTCAAGTCCTCAAAACTGTAGCATCATTACCTCAGCCTCACCCCTGTTCTAATTACCACACTCAAATTTCATGCTTGTGAAGATGCTGAGAAGGAGAATTGGTGTTTTCCACATACCTGGTCCCTTCCACAGCACCCTTTTGATAGCGTCCTTCCAAGTATTTGTATTGAGTTGCCCCTGTCTATTTAAATGGTAGTTTAAATGAAGTGTGAGTTGCATTTGAATCATAGGCATATTTCATCAAATAGGCAGACACCGAGAATAATAGATTTTTCTTTGCTCATGATTATTTAGCTGAAGGAGAATAGAAAATGGAGAGCGGTAGAAGAGGGGTGACAGTACAAAGGTAAATGAAGTTTGCTAAGACGACGCACTTGCACTGGACAAGAGAAAGAAAAATGAACAGATTCAGCTTGCTCGAGGAGGACTGATCTCCCAGCAATTACAGACTGTTTCACTCGAGTCTTCATCATGCAAGCTTGTGTTCTTTCGTTTAGGCTGTCACCACACTGCTCTATAGTCACAGCTCATTCTATTCCTTTCGTGGCCAAAGACTCCCCCAAACATTATAAATTATATTAACTGTTGAATCGAATGTAGCAGTCCTGAGGCTATGGTTAGGAATTGCCTGTAGCTCAAATTGGTCAGATGACACAGGCCTGGTGTTACAAATCATGTGCTTCACAGTTGGATGAGAAATAGAAGCATAGTTAATGATATGCTACAATTTTTTATCTCCTAAATGTGCTCAGCTGGACCTCCTCCTATATACTTTTTGTGTCTTTGTCAGCTGGCTCGAGGAAAATGTTGTTTATGGAAATGCCCTAAGATTAGGAGTCAAACAGAATGAAATTCTAGTCTCAATTCTTCATATATTAACAGGATAAACTTAGGAGTGTCCTTTAGGTTTCATGTTGCTTTCAATGGAGCTATGTTGTCCTAGGGAAAAAAATAGTGAGAAGTATGTAACTTTACCAATAGACAGTGTTCAATGCATAGATATTATACATTATATATTGTATATATGAAAATATATTTAATAATTCACAAATGATGAAAACAATACAGGATAAACGCTTCTGCAGGTGGCATGGAAAACATTTAAAATATTGTCAAAATCTGTCAACAGTTTTGTACTCATTTACTTGCACAGAGAAATGCATGTTATCTAATTGAGCTCATTCTTGTATGCAGTGTAAATTTTATTTAGTTCTGTTTCCATGCACAAGTTCTTTCACACACCACAAAGTGTGTTATCTTTTTTGTGTGTTCTTTGATGCAGGTGAAATCCATGAAATATACTTTCTCTGCTACCATTTTTTGCATAGCCTGTTTAATTTTGTAAATGATACAGATAAAACCGATGAAGCACTGTTATAAACCAGAACAAATTTGGGAAGTTAATTATTTTCTTCAAGGGACTCTCTTGGAGATTATAAATTAGAAGTATGTTGTTCAGATGAACACTTTTCTGGTTTCTTATCTATATCTCCTTCTTGAGGAAGAAACATTGTCAGGGAGAAGAAATACGTATCATTTCAGCAAGTTGGAAGAGAAAAGTCTTTCTCATGCAGATACACAGTCCCGTTTTGTCCATGGGATGGACTCTGCAAAACAGGACAATTTCTTAATTAATTCCAGTGTTTTCTTATTCAATTTAAAATATTTTTTCTGCAAATACAATTACATATGTATGGGTACATATGTATGTGTATGTATATAAGTATGTGTATGTACATAAGCATATTAATTTTATACATGATTATATATTTTGCATATATATATATATATATATACACATTTCTCTGTGTGTATGTTTATTTAAGAGTCAAGCCTTTCTGTTTAACCTCTACTAAAAATCCACCATCAAATTCTTAGAAAGGTCTTACTGATTGAATGATAAGAATAAGATAGAATAGGAACTTGTACAACCGTAACACTTAACAGAACACAGAGGAAACCCATTCTACACAATCTGTGTTAGAAATCCACTCTTCCTGTAAACCTTGAGCGTTCTGTAAGTTTCTCATTACCCAGGAAAAAGAGTAGCTTATGTAGAGAGAATAAAGCTGTTTCAACATAATTTTATCATAACCTGGTTTCCCTGCACAGTCTGCTAAGTGGAAATATTTGAGAGGCTGAGCTTGAACTGGACCCCAGGTGCGTGACTTGGGTCACAGGTCACTGACAGTCATCCCACATTCTTGTTGTTAAGCAGAGAAGTTCATCTGCAGGGCAGTTCAAGTCCATCACTGAACAGGGACCTCTTCAAGAGACTCTGCTTGAAAACAGAGCTGTCAGGCTCTGCTTAATTGATAAAAGGATCAAAGGTGTCATTTTGGCAACTCAGTGGACTGAGTGAAAGCCCATAAATATAAAAATAAAAATAATTTAAGAATTTAACTAGCAGAATGATATTCTGAAAGCATCTAACTAGACTTAAATAGCATATGAAATAGAACATTACATTGATGCTTAGAACATTAAAAATGAGGCAAGGAGACCAGATAATAATAGGAGTATGGTTTTTTCTGATAGCTTTTCACAAATTATTCAAAAGGATGACTTAAACAGCAGATTGATCTGGTTTTTTTTACTTTAAAAACATGAACAGAGTTTTACCTTGTCTAGAAAATCTTGCCTTTTACTGTTACTACCTAAAACAAGGTCCTTTGTCACTTGTTGGGGTTAAATGTTTCATGGCCCAGAATTCTGTGGGTCTGCCCAGTACAGATGCATCAGCCTGAGGAGTGATTTTGGGTTCATAGCATGAAACAAGAGTCAGCCAGCATGTTAAGCTGTGGTTATGCTTTGTTTCAAATTTATGATTTATTATATATTTGAAATAAATACAGGGAAGCCTAGCCTGCTACAGTTCATGGGGGCTCTCAAAGAGTCGGACATGACCTAGCAACTGAACTACAACATCATAAGTTATTATTTTAGTAGAATAATATTTATCATCAACAAATACCCATGAACTACCTATTCTTGGAAAGTTGAGTAAGAGGAGGGAAGCAAAATAGGGAATAAGATGGAGTTTACTATCAAGAAGTAAAATAAATGGGTCTGAATCTCATCAGAATTTGTAAATTCTACTTATTTGCTTCTTTTAAGTCCTTGTGTATAACAGATGCACTCTAAAAGAAACCCAGGGTGATTTTTTTAAAACTAATACCTGGGTAATTTTTTAAGAGTAGAAATGATCTGATTTCCTAATTGTTTGTCCTGTTTTGTAGCAATTCGGATATAAAGTCAAGTCATGCTTAGAAAATAATTCTATCTGCATATTCTGGACTAAAAACTTAAAATCATATACAGCTCACTTATATCACTCCAAGGTATAATATCAGGATGCCTTGATCAGCATGGTAAATACTGCTCAGCACGTTTGTATATAGTCGGTGTGACAACTTCAGCAGCACTCACTTTGACTCTTTTCCTTTCAGATATCAGAACTGCTGATTCACAAGCTCAACCAAAACTCCGTGCACTTTGAGCTGAAGCCGGGGGTCCAAGTCCTTGTCCACGCAGCCCACTTAACAGCAGGTCAGTGGTTGCATCCCTTGGTTCTGGCTAGTGACTCTGGCAGAAGGGGATCCCAATATCTTTCAGCAAAACAAGACTAACTGGTGCCACTGCTGATCAGAAATAGGGCTTCATTCTTTGGAGGTTCTCTTCTTATCTTCTTTCTTTTTTTTTTTTTTTTGCCTTAATGGGGACTGGCAAGGCAAGAGAAAAAGGTGATTTTCCTGTCTGGTTCCTGGCAAAAACCCATCAGTGAATCACTTAAAATTCCCTCAAATAATAGCATATTTCATCTTACAGAAATCTTTAAAATAAAGTTAACTTTACAAGTAATATTTTTTTCTGGTCTTTCTGCAAGACTTTATTTTTAAATCATTCATGCTATGAAGAATTTTCTTTCAGTTTGGGATGAGGCACAATAGAAATAGCTGGGACTTAGGAGCTGTCCTGGGCCATATCCAGGAGCTGAACCCCAGGTTGGTCAATATCTTACAAATGAATGAATGTCATTCAACTTCTGTCTCTTCACTTGTAAAAGATGATGAGGAAAATATTCTTCCTAAGGCCATATAGAAGTCTCAATAGTAATTCAGGTAGTTCCAAGTATATAGAAATAGATATTATTGTGCTATATTAATAATAAATTAACACTATGTATTGGGTCCTTATTTTTGCAGAGTTCTATGCTGGTGTTGCATAAAGGCCAGTAGGCAATGGCCTTTGCCTTCAGAAAGTATAATCTAGTTGTGGTGTTTCAGAGTTTGGTGGTGGCGTGTGGTGGTGGTACTTTGGGGTGGGGGAAGTGGGCAGTGGTGGGATCTCTGAACAAGTGAAATGCATAAATGCCTTTATAGAGAGGCAGTAGCACATTTCTGAGTGCTTGGATTTTGTAGTTTTGCAGCCAGACCACTGGTTTCAGTCTTGTTCCATCACTTACTTGGTGTATAGACTCTGAGAGGAGACTTCTCTATAGCATCTGTAACAATGGAATTGTGTGAGGGTCAAGTTAGTTTAGGTTACACACATAGGGTAATCCTGGTGCAGAGTCAGGTGTTATTTTTCTTTTTATCCTTTTTTATTATTAACAATCAAAGTTTTATGAGAAATTTAAAGCAATAGTAAATTGCAGACAGTCAAAATGACACAGGAAAGCTTAATGGAGGAGGTGGTCTTTGGGTAGGACCTTGAATGATGGATAGGATTGAACTGAAGAGAGTATTCCAAGCATAATCTTGGAATAATCAGGGAAGGAATGTGAGAGCCCCGAGGGCTTTGAGTATGCTGAAAAGTGGGGACAAGGAGCAGGTTTTTCCAGTTCCATTCTCTGGTTTCCTAGAGGTCCCTGGAGGTGTGCTTAGGTCTAAAGGCGGCCAAGCAGGTTGGCCACTGGCCTCTTTTTTACTTGGATTCCATATTTTTACTTTATTAAGATTTCATAAAATGTTTTTCCTTAAAAAAACAAACAAAAAAAAAACCAGTGACTTAAAAAACAAACATATAAAAGTCACTGTGCTAAGCATGGAACATGGAGGTGGAAGGTGGAAATATGCCAAGCTAAGCTGTTTATTCTTCCTGTGGTGGACTCTGAGAAGCTGTGGAGACCTAGGAGTAGAGATGTGACTGATTCAGAGTGTCGCTTGAGAAAGGTGACTGTTAGGAGCAAGGATTGAGTAGAGCTAGTTTGCTCTTCTGCAGCAAATGGATCCAATCAGTTGCATCCATCAACGACATTTATTGAGTTGCTGGCTACTCTGAGCCAAGAAGTGTTCTCAGCATGGGATAGAGCCTCTGCCTCCATTCCATCAGTGGAGAAGGCTGGGCAGGTAGCACATTGACAAATGCCACTTTACGAACCATACTGATGGTGAAAAGGTCCTGAAGAGAAAAAGAAAATATAAGAGAGTAGGAAGGGGCTTCCCCAGTGGCCCAGCGGTAAGAAATCTGCCTGCAGTACAAGAGACATAAGTTTGCTCCCTAGGTCAGAAAGATCTCCTGGAGCAGGAAATGGCAACCCACTCCAGTATTCTTGCCTGGAGAATCCCCATGGACAGAGGAGCCTGGCAGGCTACAGTCCATGGGGTCGCAAGAGTTGGGCATGGCTGAGCACGTGCACAGAGAGTAGAAAACAACAACGAAGCACCTATGTGGGCGGCTTGTAAGCCTAAGGCCTGAACAAACTTCCCTCAGGTCGTTTGATGATCTCCTTGGCTGTTTCCTGCCGAGAAGGTTTGCCTTTGGTCTTTGGTGAGCAGTGGTGGCATGTGGCAGTTACACATAGTTGGTTAAACTGGAAAACAAAGTCCATAAACATCCCTTGTCATCAGCCCAGTGGCCAAGCCACTGACCGTCACTGTCATCTCACACTCCAAAGATGGATTGATTTGTTTCCTAAATTTGAATCTTACTTTATATATTAGTTAAGGATGCCTTTCTGTGATGACATCTGGGATCCAGATTTAAAACAAAAAAAATAGGAATTCAAAAAGTGGGTAATGATCTGAAACTGCTTTGCCAGTGACTTGGCCTGGAAAATGGATATAGCAAAGTCACCCGTGGATCCATAGTTACATGGAGGAAAGAAAGGTCATTCCTGATAACCAGGAAAAAATGGTTCCACTGGTCTCAGTTCCAGTTGGCAAAGAGTAATGCAAAGTTGGGAAGATCTAGAAAATTTATCCACTTAATATTCATGCTTTATCCCATAGCTGGAGATTTGGGGAACAGTACTCAGATCCCTCAGAGGAGGGGCTGACGAAAGGGAGTATATTACTGGGAGCTTAGGTAAGCATGCTGAGATTGGAAGGAGAGACCTCGGCAGCATAGATGTGCGCTCTGCAGGGTTGCCAAGGGAACAAAAGGAAACTGCAGTTTAAGGCAAAAGCCCAAACTTAGACTGGGCCATTTTGGAGAGAGTGAGAAAAGTATCTGGCTTCCAGTCATCCAGGCTTTCCCAGGTTCTGATAGTATCTATCATACACCTTTTGGCAGTGTAATTCAAAACCTGATTACCTGGCCTTTTGTGCTTCCGAGGATGACCAGAGTGAACGTAGACTTATATGTGGGTAATCAGCTCCGGTTTGAAGAATAAAAGAAGAGAATGTCAAGGGCTGACATAGTAATTGAGTCTTGGAAATTTTTGCTGTATTGATTTTAGCCATGTTGTCATAATAGTGTTAGGACAGGCAGTTCCAAGGGAGAGAGGTACAAAGTCACCCTTAGCCAGGCTTTCATAAGCAAAAGGCAAGGCTTCTGTTAAGGCTGGCACTCTTCAGTGACTGTGATGAGGAAGTAGAATATAGGAGGGATCAGTTTTATGTTGGAGATTGTTCCTAAGTTAACTCTTAACTACCTGATTTTTTTTTTTTTCTAAACTATTAGAACAGAGGGTAGACTATGGTACCAAGACAGTGGAGGGAATTCTCCTTTCACACACAGAAAACTTGGCATGTTGGGTAGGCGATCAGTTGGATTGAGGCAGTTGCCACCATTTGTTTAAATTGAAATTAACACATTCATATTGGGATGGCTAGGAAGAGAAAGCATAAAAATATCCCGTTTCTTACCTGGGGGAAAGAAGACATGATGAGGAAGAGAATTTGATGCCGAACTTCCACCTAAGCTCCCTTCCCTTTCCTTTCATCTCCTCTGCAGGCAGGAGAAAACAAAAATAAAATACAATCTCAAAAAAGGGAAGAAGGACCACTGCTTGCAACATTTCATGTCTCATAAGCAGGATTGCTAATACCTTCCCAGGGACCATTCCAGCACGCTGCTGCATACCATTAATTGCTTAGCAGATGTTCAACAGCCTTCTTTTAAAAATATTTGAGCCAGAGTATATTGCTGGTGGGAGAGGCAATGCATAATTTGGTTTGTCTCCAAGGAAAAAGAACTGTCTCCTTTCAGGAATTTACTAGCCTTGCTTTGTTTTTCAAATTCAGTTCCCTGTTTGCCTTTATGGGAACACAAGGTAAGTGTTTTCAGGTACCTGGATGTCATTAGAGACTGGATTTCGTTTGTTTCCCCCACATGTTCTGTTTGGGAATTCATTAACTTTGGTATCTTAAGTGAGCTAAACTTTTAACACAGTCCTTGTTTTGTTCTTAGCTCTTCTTCAGTTTCTGTACAATTCCTCCTGGGGTCCTCACCGCTCCTGATAGCGATGTTCCTGAAACTCTCTTGAAGAAAGTAAAGATTTCAGATTGTCTGAGAATAAGAAGGGATGAGGAGCTGTTATCAAGAAGTTTGAGAGAGGGCCATGCCTTGAGAGGCTGTCTTTGGCTTTTAGGACCGCGTGACAGCTGGCGCCATGTTTAGCAGACAGAGGGAGTATGACTCAGTCAAGCTGGGGGCTGGACTGGAAACACCGGTGTTTTGATGGAAATGTACCTTTGCTCCTGGTATTCCCAATTGGAACATTACTCCCCTTTCTCTAATTTTCTACATCTTCTAAGTGTCTTTATATTTTAAGGTTCAGCTCAATCCTAACCTTTACATGTTGTCTTTCTGGAAACCTTAACCTGGATAGCATCTATCCCTTGTCAGAACTCACGTGGATATTTTTAAGCTCTATCTGTCTGATCCTCATCATCTCTCCTATTTAATGTCCTAAGGATACCATTCACCATGTCTTTATAGTGTCTCTGTCATTGTATCTAGCACAGAAAATTGCACATATCATGTGTTCAGTAAATATTGCTTTTACAAATAATTAGACACATAATTAATTTATAACCTGTAGTTCAGTTCAGTTCAGTCACTCAGTCATGTCTGACTCTTTGTGACCCCATGGACTGCAACAGGCCAGGCTTCCCGGTCCATCACCAACTCCTGGAGCTTGCTCAGACTCATGTCCATTGAGTCAGTAATGCCATCCAACCATCTCATCCTCTGTCATCCCCTTCTCCTCCCACCTTCAATCTTTCCCAGCATCAGGTCTTTTCAAATGAGTCAGTTCTTCGCATCAGGTGGCCGAAGTATTGGAGCTTCAGCTTCAGCATCAGTCCTTCCAATGAATATTC